AGTGCCAAAAATAATATTTTGTTATATGCACTGATCAGACTATTTAGAGTGGTCAAATTGGTCTATTGGTCTGTGTACCTATACTTTTGACTAGTTTGATCAGACCAATTCGACCAATAACCAATTGATCAATGATCAGCAAATTTATAGCTGACCATTAGATTTAATAATGCTGATTTTTTAATATAATTTTCTCTATCGCTATGCATATTATCTCTTTATAAACTATCGTTACCAATTATTTTCACCTCTAAATATCATCTTTATCTATACATATTCATTATCTTCATATTTACATATTATTGTTGTTTGCATATTTTTTATACATATTATGATTGGCTGGAAATACTCAAAAGAACGTTTACAAAGAAATCCTTTTGTTGCTAAAGTTGTATGTGCGAAAAAAGTAATTTGCATATGTGGAGATACAATAAAACTTAATAGGAAATATGATGAAGATTATATTAATCGGCATGCAAATGGTCCAGGATGTAAACGGAAAAAACAAAAAAGTATTTTGTGTTTTTTTAACTCAACAGATAAGGTAGTTGAAGAAGTTGATAATATAAATTCAGATGACGATTAGAAAAGCGAAGTAGAAGATGTAATGGATGATGATAATATTATTATAGTAGACAAAAATAAGGATGAAATTAATAGAGAAGAAAATGCTAATATAGAAATTATTAATCCAGTAACTAACCAAACTGGTAGAAAAAGGAAGCCATGCTTAGAATTACATTCAGAATTGATTAAACAATATGTTGATAGAACACCAGCATGTTATAGTGGAGCTCACCATGTTGAAGTAATTGCTAAAGAAATGTATCCTAGAAAATTTCCTCACAAGTTTACAAGAAAAAAACTTAAACCATTTCAGAAACGTGCATTAAATCGAAAAATTTATACAGAATCTCAATGGCGTGTTGATAAAGATTATAAGTATTTATTTATATTGGTATTTTTTTTTTTTTTTTTTTTATCGATTATTAATAACAAATATTATTAATAGGTGTTAGTATACATGCTAAAGAATATACAGGATATTCTGAATCAGAAAAAATGATTTGTGATGAATGTTTAACCTTAAAACATAATTCTATATTAGCAAATCGTCTTGCTATTCCAAAACGAGCATCAGAAAATCTTAAATTTACACCAAAATTTTATTTTGAGAATAATTCCTTAAAAAAGCATTTGCAAAATCAAGACCTTTGTGAAATTTGGTCTGTTATTAAAGATAATTATGATACAAATATATGGATTACATTAGCAAATAAAGCAAATAA